TTGAAATGTCATTTGCCATTAGAGATACCTTCTTGAGATCTTCTACCCACCCACTCTCATTCGGTACCTTTTTCAATTTTATGCCAGCTTTTACCATATATCCACATCCAAGACCAATACTTTTGATAGCCATGTCTCTCACAACATCATGCATCTTAACTCTAAGTCCAAGGCATTCCTCTAATAAGCAATTCTGTAGAAGCCTATTTAAAAAAGCACGGCCCCGATCATAAGCTGCTTGTCTACTTCCCAACTCATCAATCACAATCAGTCCTTCATCAATCCAATCTTCAATCAAGTTCTCTCTAAAAACCTCATAATCTTCCCGAAACAAAGAGCAATACAGAAAACATTCTTGGATTTGCAAACTTCTTAGACGGTCATAACTAAACCTTAACTGTCCAAATATCTCATCTTCAACACATTTCACACTTCTTACACATTGGCGTAATTCATTTAGGGCATTTCTCCACTCGGCAATGTCATATTCTCCCTTCATGCTCCCTGCTATTACAACAATTGCCAGTGGCAAGCCGTCGCACTCCTCCACAATAAGCTTCAAGGTTTCTTCCAATCCTGAAACTTTTTGTAAAACATCACGCCCAACCCTATCTAGGAATAGGCTTAGAGACTCCTGTGGTGAAAGAGGCTGCACTTTAACAATCTTACAATCCAAATAATTACATACTTCAACTGATCTACTAGTGATAACCACTTTGCTCTTATTCTGCACTGGTTCCGGGATTCCAATATCCGTGAGAGAAAACTTTTCCCATACATCATCTAATATTAGCACAAAACTCTTACTTCCCATTATCTCCATTAGTTCTGCTGCCCGCCTCATCTCTTCATCTTCTCGGAGTCTTCCATCCATAGCATGGGCAATCTTCCTTTGTAATTCAATAACATTGAGAGGGTATGATACAGTAACCCAAATCACTTTCTGAAATCTGCCCTTGCTCAACAAAGCATTGTTAATGTGCTTCATAATTGTAGTCTTACCAACTCCACCAATCCCACAAACTCCGATCATTCCAACCTTGTCATCCATCAAGTGCTTCTGAATTTCATCCTTAGTAGAAATTTCACCTTCTATCTTTTCTGTTGGAATCATAATTCCACGAGGTGGAGCTCTCTCAATCACAAGGCCTTCATTGAAATTGCCCCTGTCTTGAATTCTCTTCACCTCTTCAATTTTTTCACGCACGAGTATATCGAGACCGATACGATCGCAGCGTGAAACACTGTGCACCTTTTCTTCAACATCTTGTATGTCTTCTTCCATCTTTTGAACATCTAGAAGCCAGCCCTTTACTTCTTCTTTGACCGCTTGCCCCAGGCGAACCTCTGTTTCTATTCTTGAATCAATGTCAATTTTTCTCCTCTTTAGAACCTGAAATTCGCTTTTCAACTCATTTGTATCTTTTTCAAGTTTTCTGTAGTGGTCTACAAAATTCTCAGCTTTCTCAAGAATTTTCTCCATTGATGAATTCCTAAAATGTAGTAGTAATGTCATTAAATTTATTTTCTATACGAAATAAAAAAAAAAATGAGAAAAAATTAGTTAGGATAATTAATTTACGCACAACTTTAGTGCAAACCGAAAGCCATAACAATATTAAATAGTCTTAAAAAAATGTCATTCCTAAGAACACAACAAAAATTGTTTACAAAAGATACAAATTTTTTCTGTTACAATACCATGTTTAGGATTAAGATTATATATTAAGCCTCTAAATAATGGGTCTAGTTGATTTTAGTAAAACAAATGTAGAAGGTAAAGTATGGATAAATTGCAGAAGCAGATAAATGTAAGGCAAGGTATGGATCCTTTCTCTCTCTCTACATATATATATTTGATCAGCAAATTAGAAGCAAATTAATTAAGAAAAAAAATAGCAGAATCAATTAGAAGCATCTCAATCATACGCATTCTCAATTTGGGACCGAGTTCCCATTGCCTAACATTCCTAATAAAGGGGTGAACCATAAGATTAGCTCCAACAATAGAAATGAAAATGCAAACAAGCAAAGAATTGCAATACC